TGGTGTGATGAAGTCAGAGACTTGTCTGACACGCTCTATACCCACTTGCAGCTAGACACATGGGTTGAGTTAAGTATGCTGTTTCAGCCTGTACTCATTACTTCTCAACTTTTATTGGCTCATGTCTCCACTTCCATATTATTTTTAATGTTTTTAATTAAATTTCCTTTCTATAATACTAGTGGATAGCAAAAAAAAAAAAAAAAAACAGCAAAAAACAATAGAACTATTTCATCAAGTTACTGTACAGTTGACCATGAACTTCTAATAAAACTTCATTTCTGAGTTAGACTTTTTTGTTTTAGCCTAAATAACCATAATACTGATAATTTACACATTTATACACTGTATGTATGTTTTACAAGGAGCTTTCACATTTTTAATGTCATTTAATCCCCGTAACCTTGATGTAAAGTGGATATTCACAAGAGGCAAGTTAGGGGACTTGCTCAAGGTTATAAAAATGAGCCCTGGGATTCAAATCCAATTGTTCTGAATCTAAGTCCAATTCCCTTTCTAATATTCTACAAGGCTCTTTCTAGGAATCAGAACCAGGAAGGATAAGGGGGGAAATCAAATTCTAATATGTTTCCCTCATTTGAGGTGAGATAAAGGTGATTTCTGGTCTACAGGGATAGCTTGTTTTCTGAACTATTGAAAATGAAGTATGGTGACTGTCACATTGTATATTTCCTCATTTTTGGAAGTCGGGAGGATCTTGTGTTCTCTTCCAGCTTCATTAAACGAAAGGGCCTGGTAATTTAACCACTCTGGTATTTCACAAAGCTCCATCAGTACACTTCTGCCAAAAGCCATTAGAATTTCTCATGACAACTGAGTAAATGCGCACCCTGTCTATCCAAAACAACCTCAGTCTGTCCTGTGCCATAACCTATAACATTTATAAACACACTTACTAACACATACAGGAAACTAGGCAGTAGGAGTCACTAGCTTTTTGGTTCATTTCTTTTTAGGAAACATTCATTCCAGCGAGAGCTTGGCATCAGATGTTATTTGCAAAAAAAAAAAAAAAAAAGAGGTGATGACTTTGCAATTATAGGTAGCAGATGGCTACCTGCTGAATATGATGCCAACCAAAATATCATGACTAAATCTGCTCTTCTTCTTATAGGGCAGACTAAACTGAATAAATATTCAGAACCAGTAAATTAATACCATACAACCTTTGGGAAAATTTCAGTTCTAGAAAGAGCACTGAAGTGAGGACAAGTCAGGAGATCTGGATTTTGTGTGACCTTAGGAAAACCAATGGACTTTTCTGGTATTTGATATTCTAAGCTAAAATAAAGCATTCTGCCTTTTCACTGAATTAAAAAAATAAATTTAACAAATTAATTAAAATCAAGTCATGTGAGTGAGAAACTGATTTTCTTTTTTAAGATTCTGACAACCCTTGTCAATATCATTCTCATGCTAAAGGTAGTCATTTTATTAAAAGTGACATAATATCTCAAACTAGTTCTGTAAGTTTGTTATTACAGTACCAATATTAACTCTGAGGCACACGTTTTAATTTCCATCTAGAAAACAGGTTTTATAGCCAGTTCGATATGAATTTTAAGAAAGGCTGACACAATCGAACATTTACCAATGAGGATTTAACAACATAATGTCTTTAAAAGGATATGGTAAATTATTTCGATTGACTAAATTTTATTTTAGAAAAAAATAAATAGCATGACAACATTTTGCTTCTATAGCTAAAATTATCATACATATACAGCTTCTGATATATTTAATATTCTCAATTCTATGTACCTGAGAAATAGCAGGGAATATCAATTTGGAATTATTATATTCACTTGTTGAAGTGTATTTTGAAATATTAAACAAATTCAGTTGTGACATTCATCTAACAATATGTTAATATGTTAAACTCCTTGGCAAGGATCCTGTTTACTGTATGTCACTGACAAGGATACTTTAAGAAAGTACTTCACAATTAATTGTAAGTGGGGAAACTGCATTCATTTTTTTCTTTATCATTACATTCTAGAGTAAGTGATTTCATTTTGTTTTTAACACGTAAGAGTACTACAAAAGTACATCTTGAGGTGTCCATCTTAATAATGAAATTCATACTTTATTCTCTTTTGAAAAATATTTGAGAAAATGAGCTTAAGTCAGGGTTTTCATTAGCACGATCTTCTGAAACAAGGAAAACATCTTACCTTCCACTCAGAGATGAGAAGAAGGGCACTACATGTATTCCCAAGGGGCCTCCTTCCCCAGAAATCTCCACTGTTCTTGTCATGTCACTGGGGCAGAAAAAAACAACAGCACAGATGAGTCTCTGCTAAAAACCAGATGAGGCACATTAAACACACACACACATACACAGCCCCCCTCAGGATTACATCAACTACTCTAACTTAAACAGCAGAGATGAAGTCAAAGGAGTATATCATTTACTGGCATGTCCCGAAGATTCATGAAATGAAATGTTTAAAAGACTATCTGATTTCTTTTTAGTCCTAGGAGAGGAACAAATGGAAATAACTACCTACAAAAATAACTTCCTGCTTAATCTGCATAAATCAACATATTTAAAAGAGGTACCCCAAAATGAAATTTTTCCCCATTGAGACACACTTGAAAATTACCATACAGATCATAAAATACATGGAAGTAAGCACATCTATGCTTAAGCATAAAGTAGGTTTTTTTCCCCAGAACAGAGAAAAAAATGAAATAAAGTACATATTAGAAAATGTACAGAATTACATTCTACAGTGGCTGTGAAGCCTCAGTTGGTAATATATATGGGCATGTCCAAAGCAATATAAATCAAAACTTGAACTTGTTTTTCAATAAGTCATCAGTTGTATTCAATGGAAGAATTCCAAATTTTCACTTCCTATTTTTTTTTTCTAGTGGTAAAAAAGGAGGTTGTAAAGCCTGAAAAAATGTATTATGGAATGAAATAGAAAGCCTGACCTTCCTAACCTACCCTAGATTAAGAAAAGGATGAGCCACCAAACTTGAATGGATAGTGTGTATGACTGAAATATTGAAGGCACTGGGAGCTTTTGAGTAATAAAGAGTGGAACTAACAAGTTTTCATAAAGATGAAAAATAATAACCGTGAACAATTATTGGCTCCTTTAATCCCAGAGAGAGAAAATAATTGCCAGAGGAAAATGATAAAGTTGAAGCAAACATCCCTGTTATGGAAATTGTAAACAGGTCTCTATTGTTTCCTATTTACATGAAAATGACCTGAAACTAGATGTCAAATTAAGAGCTACAGCTGCTACAAATGCTTTTCTGCTCCAAATTGAAAATAGTGAAATTTTGGCTCCTTGCTGGAAAGTTGAGAACAGCATTAAGAAAGCAAAATGCCTGATGAATTCACTCTGCATGAAGTATTCTCTAAATTATCAGCAATCTAAAATAAATACATTAAATATATTCTCATCAGTGGATTAGACTTATTTTTAATGTGTTTTCTTTGCAAGCCTATTACCATTAAGAACTGTAAAAACGAGCCTTGAGTTTCCAGCATTTGTGGAATATGACAGAATTTCAAATCTGATAATAAATTTCAAATGTGTTTTGACCAGATATTGCTGATATATGTAAAACTTGTTTAGTCAAGCAGGTTATATCAGGGGCCTGAAATAGAAGTTAAAAACAAATCTTAGAGTGATAATATAGGGTGATATGATTCTTTTCTATATGCCTGAGGATAAGGATATTTATATGAATATATGTATATGGACTGCCACATACATGTATGTATTATATGTCCTGAATATAAAATGCCTGGTGGGCAGAGAAAGTTGTGTAGCTTTTAATGGGCCCAAAAGCAATAGTTGCCATATAATAACAGATTTATAGTGCATTTTTAGGCATTTGAGGAACACTAAACCCAAAGCATTCACATTCTAGGTTTATGATACTGTTTTAAAAACCTTTAAGAACAGAGACTAAAATCTTGCTTAATTATCAAAAAATCATCTTTACCTTTATAATGCGTTTTTATAGTTTTGCACTGAAAGCATAACAAATCTTTCCTAATAAATGTATCAAGTATCCACATGCTGATAGATAGAACCCATACGTAATACACTGCGGCTTTTAAAATATATGTTTAGTCTAGTAAAGACTTCAAGATTTCAGCCTAAGAATGTTTAGGATGGCTTTTATGGATTCTCATTTTTTTTTTTCTATTTTACAAATTCTTTTTACTCCACTCAAAATACTTCCTATAAAACATTAAAAACTATGTATCATACTGATCCCTACTCCTTTGTAATTATCAATCCTGTATTTTTAAATTCACTTTAGTAAGTGAATATTTTTAAAATTCACTTAAAGTAAACATTATAATTTGTTTAAGTAATCAATCTTGTTTTTATAGCACTAAGATGTTTCGGGAGGATGCAATTTTTAAAGTTCATTTCTATTTTATAAAACTCCCTTTTCGATATTTTAGAGTAAACTTATTCTTACCATTACACACAATAGTCACAATTCTTTGGCTGGAAGTATTTCTGACATGTTAAATTATAATCACAAAAATATTACTATCTCAGAAAAAAGAATAAAGGACTTTCATTTTTATCGACTGCAACGTGCAAGCACTTATAGAAAGTTAGATCTATTTAATACAAACAAGCATTACAAGTTTTACATAGACCATATCTCCTCATGTTCTTTCTAAAATGTTATAGATTATTTGTTTCAAGATGGAGAGAAAGGCATTTGAAAAATGTCTCATAGACTACACTTAAAAAGTTTATTTTAAAAGGAAATAAAACCCCTTCAGTATTATATCTACTTGATGGAGCTCTGTAGAAATGTCTACATATATACCCTTCATGGAATATAAACAGAGAAAGTAGAACTGGTTGCAATTATTTGAATATTTAGCTCATAAAGAGAGATTTTACAAAGATGTGAAAAAATGCTATTAATGCTCTTTGTTAAGACAAACTCTAGAGTACAGTTCAGAGACTAGTGAGCAGGGCATGCACACATTTATTTGTGTTTTGGAAGACAGTACAATAGCCAGGAGATAAGCTGGAGAGTACACTGAGAGTAGAAAATATAGAAAATGAGGTGGAAGTAATATTCTAGCAGTGGAAAGAGAAAGGGGTTGGGAGCTACTTGTGAAAAACAGACAAAAAGTGAACTGTGGGGGTAAAAAAAAAAAAGATTCCAGTTATACAAAGAAAAAAAAGATTTCACTAAGGTCAAAATAGCTATCTTTATACAACTTTCTGAGACACACCTAAACAAGCAGATAGTTACAAAGCATTAGGTCAACTAATATTATGCAAGCTAAATGCCCTAAGATCCACTTGACAAAACTGATTCAGATAATCACTGGAACCAGCTGCTACCAATCTAAGAATCTAGGAGAAAACTATGGGTGAAGCTACAGAATCGGTGGTTAAAAAGAGACTGTCATTACGAATGGTTACCCTGCTAGAGCTAGATGTGAAGTGTGTCAATTGCTTACCATCCAGAAGAGAGACCCGAAGCTTGAGGAAGAATATATAACAGAAGCCTAAGATGTTTGCAGGTCTAACTTCTTCACATGAGGCAAATGGACAGCATTTTAACATTAAGATTATTCTGCTCAGTGGTAGGCCACTCTTTCAGGTATGGGCTAGATAGGACCGAGGATACGGAGAAAGAGATGCTTTATCTCAGATCTCTAGTTACAGACGTGAATCAGAGAGAAATACCTCAATGGTGACTTTGAGTCGGCTGTCTAAGTCATTTAAACTAAGACTCAAAGCTTCAGTTTCCTTATTTGTACAATGAGGACTTTATGATTAGGAATTTCCCTAATAGAGTTGTTGGTTTTAATGAGAAAAATAGAGAACACAACACATATACATTACACATGCTGTATCTGTCATATACAAGGGGTTAAATAACTATCAGCTATTAGCATGATTATTAGAACTTTCTGAGGGAACAAATAAGCTTATGGAGTAAAAGGAAATAATCTATTTCAAGCTTTCCCAATTTTTTACAATGATTTCCTCAGCAACAGTTTTTTAAAAATTCTTAAATACAACTACTGTAATACTGAAGAACATATTTTCTTCATGATTAGATTGCGCATGATTATTAGAACTTTCTGAGGGAACAAATAAGCTTATGGAGTAAAAGGAAATAATCTACTTCAAGCTTTCCCAATTTTTTACAATGATTTCCTCAGCAACAGTTTTTTAAAAATTCTTAAATACAACTACTGTAATACTGAAGAACACATTTTCTTCATGATTAGATTGAATTGCTGACATGGAGAAAACAAAAACAGAAATAACAAATGTATAGAAGGTGTTAGTTTGTGTTCTTCGGGGAATGATTCACAGATCTGTCATATGTAATGGTATGAGAGATGGACTCCAGAGAAAAGCCTCCAAGAAGAGTTTGCAGATGATCCTGAACTCTACTGGTGAAATGCCTTGATAAGAATGTACTAAGTAAAAATCTAAAAAAAGAAAATGTGTTGATGATGGTGGGATTCACTTAATTCACTTGAATTCAGCAAATATTGAGTCATTACAAGGGGAAAGATCTTCAAGGAAAAAAAAGACTGATGCTTCAGGAGTCCATAATCCAGGGAGAGGGTTGAGACAAGTAACAAAAATAATACAAAGCAACAGAATAATTAGTAGTAATAGCAAATTCTCAGTGAAGGAAAGCTATTATTTGGGAGGTAGTGTCCTAATTGCCTTCTGAGGATTATAACATGTATTCACATCAAATCGATAAAGTAAACACTGTAACATCACTTCCATCATAGACACGAAGATTGGCTGCAATTTAGAGTGGGTTAATGAGAGTGGGGGTGGGGGAGAGGGGGGAGAGAGAGAGAGTGAGAGGATGAAGAAGGAAGGAGGAAGAAGAAAGGAGAAGGAGAAAGAGGTGAAGGAGTAAGAAGGGAGATGTGGTATGTATAGAAGACAGATTGAACCATTAGCCTGAGATTAAAGATCTTATGTCAAATTCCGGGCTGGAAAATTAATACTTAATTTGTAGAAAATAGAGTCACTAAAGGTTTTGGAACTAAGGAACAGTGTGATAAATGCTGTGGTTTAGAAATATTTAACAGTGGTATGTGAGATCAATTAGTAAAGTTAAAGACAAGGGAGAGACTGGTACCTGAGACATGGGTTAGTAAATTATTGCAATACTCTAGCTAAGAGATAATAGAGACTTGAGCAATGATTATAGAAATAACGCATAAAAACATGGGGACAGGTCCAAATTATTTTGAAATGGACTCTGCAAATAATTCTCTAAGTGAATGGATGTTGTAGGCAAAGAAGAAGACAGGATAAAATGTGATAGCAGTTTCAAACTTAGAAAAAAATGGAGGCCTGGAGGGGGCTAATCTGGGGAAGTCAGAGTCCAGAGATAAGACTGGGTCAGGAATGAGATAGGAATAAGAGATGTGGAGAAGGTCTTCTGCACACGTCTTGCTATTTAAAGAGAGCTCAAAGTGTAATTTTTTCAAAATACACCAAAGAGAAACACCTTTGTTTCACTCTCTTTTTAAGGTCATAGTAAATTGAGTGGTGCTTCATAAGAGATGCTTATTGTGAGATTATTTGAAGAATTCTCTTTGTGTTGTTTTTCTTTAAATAAAAATATTCATGTTAATAACAGGTGAGAAGTTAGTAGTTATGCTTATGATTTATGAAGCAAAGTGTTATATCCGTTTAGTTATTCACTGAACAAATATGTCCCTATTATATTCCAAGACCTATATTAGGTATCAGAAATTCCCTGGAGGATTCAGTTTTGTTTGGGACAATGATCAACAGTTATAATAAATTGTAATATGTATATTAAAGACAACGATAATTGCAATAACAATTAATGTTTATCCAGCCTTTCACTTAGCATTGCACTAAGCCAGTTGCCTATGATATATCTCATTTAAACTTCACAATAATCTATGTGATAACCATATCCACTTTCTTATGAAGAAAACATTTTGAAGAGTTGCACTAAGCCAGTTGCCTATGATATATCTCATTTAAACTTCACAATAATCTATGTGATAAAACCATATCCACTTTCTTATGAAGAAAACATTTTGAAGAGGTTACATAATTAGTCCAAGGTTGCACACATACTAAATGGCATCACAAGTGTTCCAACTTAGGACTTATTTAAATCCAAAGGTTTGGGAACTAAGAAATGGTTTGATAAATGCTATGCTTTAGAACATTTTATACAATAGTAAGATGTGGGATCAATTAGAATAAAAAGCAATTGCTGGTTGAGAGAGGAGTTAGGTTATTACAATAGCCTAGCAGACAGGTAACAAAGGCTTGAGCAATGACTATGGGAATGAAACAGGTTCAAGATGTTTTGAGATGGACTCTGCGAATATTTTGCTTAGCTTCTATGCCACCTACATGGCAGTATGCCCAATGCCCTATGCTTGGGCCAAGCTCTGTGCAGTTATCAGATCCTCCCTGCCCCAGGAGAACGCTGACCATGTAACTCAGCTGTAAGTAGCTTTCTAATTTCTCTTCAACTCTTTTTTAAATCATCTCATACCAGGTAGAACCAACGTCCTTTCCTACAACTGAAAACTCCAAACTTTCCCGTTAGCTGTGCGTTCCATGCCGTTAAGATTGTTCTCTTCCTTTCCCATCTCAGAGTCTCAAGTGCTGGGAGGTTGAACTCACTCTTCCTTCTGCATTTGACCTCAGATTGATTTCAGCTGTGCTTTTCCTATACTAGTGCTCTCTACATGAAGTTTCCAGCCCTGGTTACACAGCATGAAATAAAACACTAAGAAGTCAGGGATGGTGCACACAACAGGTAATGTTTGAATTAACAGGTTTGTGGACAAGAGTGGTAGATGTAGACTGAGTCTCTGGCTGTTACTTAATTGCTCTGAACTGCAGTTCCTTGACCTACTAATGGTAATAATAAAACTCATGCAAAAAGGCTGTTTTGATAATCAAAGTATACATATATATTTTAATTAAATAATATATATTTAATCCCTATACACTATTTCTCTCAATTCTCTGTACCTGAAGAAAGCTTAGATAATTTGTTCATGCAGCCATAAACCAATTGTTCACTCTATGATGGCTATTCACATAGCATTTAGCCAAGACATTAGCAACCTTTTCAAAAAGCTAAGATTAGAAAACTAGAGGTGGAAAAGGGGAGAGGAGGGGAGAGGGGAGGGGGGCTAATGAGGAACTGGTCAACGGACATAAAGAATGATTGTGTATTATAATGATGAATAAGCTAACTATACTGATCTAACCACCACATGTTCTACACAATTACTGAAAATCAGCATTGTACTCACACGTATGTATAATAAAAAATAAAAAAATAAAGAAAATAAAAGTCAAATAGAATAAGAGTATTCATTCATTATCCATACCTCTGAAAGCAATCTTATCAAGCTTCTGAAAAGACAGTGCTTGGAGATTTTCTGTACCAAATTTTTAATATTGTGTAGCTTGTTAACCACAGAAACAATCTAAATAAAGAGTAACCATGGCCACACAGTAAAGCTGTAAAATAAAGGATGATCACCTATTTTTTAAAATAACTTAATTTCATGTAAATTGTTTAGCATCTATTAGTATCTGAACTTAATAAAGGAAATATGTTGAATTAACAAATGAATATCAACCTCAATAATATCACCTTCTAATGCTAGGGCCAACCATCTATTAAATATGAAATTACTTTCCTTATGCTAAATTTGAAGGAACTTAAAGAACATAATGATAATAATAATAGAGATGATGATAATAATAGCAATAGAAACAGCAGCAAATACTCATAGGACTTACTGACCCAAGCACTGTTGAAAGCACTTTGCATTTAGTAATTCACTTAATTCTCAAACCAATCCTTTGAAGAGGGTCCTAATAATATTTCCATTTTGCAGACCAGAAACTAAGTCATAGAAAGATGAGTGACTTGCCTAAGATCACAGAACTAGTAAGCAGCAGAGTTGGCAGTTGAACCCAAGCAGTACCTGGGGCCAAATTGGAAACTAGTGCAAAGCAAAGGAAGTGGTGGTAAACACGAGAGCAGCTGATATCAGACAATGAGTTACTTTCATTAAAAACATAAAAAATCCTAGTTGATGGACTAGATTCATTTTACATACATCAAATAAAATATTGCAAGATTGTTAAAATACAATACAAAGCAGTACTCAAAGAGCTGAAGTCAAACACTCAACTGCAATGAATTCTGAAATGTTCACTTTAAACTGTTGTTTAAAGAGAAGAAAAAGTAATTAAGAAATCTGGCTGCAGAAGAGTATAAGATTTGAGGATCATTTGTATATATGTCTGTCAGTAAGTTATCATATCTTATGAAGAAAACAAGAGGGAAGAATAATTAAGTAATTAACATTAGAATTAGGACATATTTCACTCCATGATTCTACTTATATCTCGATCTTTCTTGTAAAATAAAACCAATTACAAACTATTAAAGAAACAAACATTAAACTGAAATAAGTAAAATGTTTGCATTTGCATAAACAGAATACCTCAATGCATCCTTAGTTTTTGGTGATGTTACTAGTTCTGTCTGTACACCATTCATAATTTCTCCATCTTCCAAGTTCTGCGTGGAATCCTGTAGTGAAACAAACACATAAGCATGCGATGCTCTGCATATAAAATTGAAAATATGAATAAAATGTCTCAACAAGGGGGAGTAAATGGTTTTACTCTGGAAATGTACAGTATGCTCCAATTTCTTTGAAGACTGGAAACAGGTGTTAATCTTTTCAGTGCTTTCAATATTCTTTTCTTTCCCATTTGGTTTATGAAATACTCAAATGGGCAATTTACACAAGGCAATATGTTAAGAGCTTTAGAATATATCGTTTAACTTCCTCCCACTCAACCATAGGCTTTTGGGATTGAATGTTTTAAACCAGCAAGGAAAAGGAGTACCAAAGGGAAGGTTCTGGTGACAGCCGGTGATATATTAGCTTTAATGTACTATATTTGCTTGCACCTGCACCCCCTGCCCTGGCACCAAAATATAAAGAAAGCAAAATCCATGAGAAAATGTTGCCTGGAAAAGTCACTTCCATCAAAAGTGTAGCAGGAACCTTGCAGGAAGAAGAAATCCAGAGTGCTTACTTTGTCATAAGACTGATTCTGAGGATGCTCTTCCTGGAGAGAAACTAAAATTGACCATTTCATTTCTAGAATGGTAAACACGCTTCCACTACACAATTTACAAGAGGTAAGAGGGTCAGAAAGGTCTTGCACTCCAGGATGGTGGCAAAGTTTAGTTGGATGTTACCCAGAGAAGTAGAGGAGAAAATGGATTTTAGAAAGCATGCCTGGTGTTGATTCTTTATGAAAGATATTAGTTCTCTGATAGGACTTGGAGCTGTTCCTTATCAGAGTAATTTTGTGGATACCCCACTCTTCAGAAGCAGAGTCACAAACAGTCATGGATTCTGGTTTCATTAAAACAACAAACCACATGGAGAAAGACCCATTATAAAAAGCCACACGTATAAACAGAGCATTTATGGATCTGAATGCATCATTCCACCAAAAATAGTAAGATAATATATGAGCTTAAAAGATTGGACATAAGGGAATTAGATTAATATCTTGAAGAAAACAAAATACAGAGCTGTAATGGAAGCACTATGTTGTAGTAAATTGAATGAAAAAAAAAAAAATCTTTTGCTTTTAGCCAAGTAGCAGCATTTCCTATAAGGGTTGGTGGTTTTGTGAAAAACTTGGTCTACAGTAGATTTTTAAAAAATTTATAGTTCTCTTCTCCACAAGGAAAAAGAAAGGAGAGGGCCGGCCCGGTGGCGCACTGCGCTAGTGCGCCGCTTGGGAAGCGCGGAGGCGCTCCCGCCGAGGGTTCGGATCCCACATACAGACCGGTTCCCACTCACTGGCTGAGCGAGGCACGGGGGCGACACTGAGGGTTGCAATCCGTTGCTGGACACGGAAAAAGACAAAAAAAAAAAAAAAAAAAAAAAAAAAAAAAAAGAAAAAAAAAAAAAAAGAAAAAAAAAAA